ATACACGTGGTTTCAGATGCAGCTGTACGCTAATTGCATGGATAATTTTATTGTAATTCAACACTTCGACTGTGTAATACGCGCACGTGTTCACGACTCCTCATGACTCCTCGTATGCCGAGAGCCGACGACGAGATGGATAAGTGGAGACACTTGGCCGCCGTCTCGGAATTCTCTCTCGTTCGCCTGCCGGCAACTCGCGAACTTCGCGCGCGTAGAACGGAGCGGAGGCGTTTCTTCTGGACTTGGCGGCGCGATTTTTCTTCACCGGCTCCTGTCGAGCCCCCTCTTTACGTTACGTTCCGTGCTTGAACGAAAGTGCGGATTGAGAGTTCACGCGCCCCGGGAGCATACGCATGCTTGTGTCCTGCCGCGCGAAACGGCCCCGTTCTCGCCCGATTCGTTCCGCGGCATGCGAGAGAGTAGAAGAAAACGATCATCACACAAATTATATATCGCGAGAATCGATGATTATTGGATTGCATCCTCGTTCTCAGCCACCTGCATGTGGTTCGCGTCCGTCTATTCGCGGTAATGTCGGGCACTTCCTGGTGGCCGAACATTCCGGTTTGCGGGGACCGCGATCGCGTGGTCGTAATAATGTTTCGTTCCATGGCGCCTGACTCTCTCGAAATAGCGCGCGAAACGGATTTAACTAGTCTCGCGGCTATACGCGGATCGATTTATGGACAGGTCTGAATTAGAACGAATATAAATCTGCGTAATTAGCGTGAGCCTGGGGAAGGGGCCAGGGGCCCGACTTCCCCTTCTCCAAACGGTAATTGTGGAGACCAAGAATAAAATATCTTATATCCCGATCGTACTAAATAATTTAAAAACACGAGATATTTCACTTATTGATGTGTTACTAAATAAAAATAAAATATCATTTTTTTATTTTTTATTTTAATTAATTAGTGTAAAATTATTTTTTATTTTAATTATCAGTGCATAATTTGTAGTCGCATAATTTAATTTATCCATCGATTATGATTTTTTTTCAGACAGTTGATCAAGACTCACAGTTTTGTGTTGATCTATTAATTGAAAAGAATAATCCTGCGAAAGGAATAAATATTATAGAGCATATGTTATCAAATGCACGAAAGTAATTTGTTTCAACATACGTTGCGGGAATAAATTCTCTCGTTTGACGTCATGATTTCTATAGATATGCAGGGGCAAGCCCGTGGGTGCTTATGGGTCCCTAGTTCGCTATAGGAACGAAACCTGCAGCGACATAACGCAATAGATATGTAAATTGATACAATAATTTATTGCTGATATTTTACTTCCGATCTGCTATTTACACGCAATGGATTAACGCCGCTGTTTACACATAGTTAGAATCGCGAAACCCGATTCGAGAAAGTCGAGGTGTGGGCGCATTAATAATGTTTTCTTTTTTCCCCTCGGTGCCCTGTACATGCGGGGTGTACATGCAAGAAATGAACAAGCCAACGCAATAGTTTTTTTTTCAGTAATAAAAATTCATAATTTCCTCTTCAATTTTCGATAAACGTCACCTAATACATTTGTCCTTTTTTTGTACCATATCATATGTTTAACATATGCACGGAGTAGGGCGTGCGCGTCCTTCCAGTTTTTTTACGCTCGCACGCGGAGAGAATAGTGCGGCAGTAGCGGCAATGTGTGTCGCGTTGATACACAAGAATCAAGGACCCTGGCGTCGTCGCGAACGGACGAACGATAATTTCGATAAAACGTGATTCGCTTCGATTGCGTAGATTATTGCGCATGAACAGCACTCGTAACATCAACTAATTCAGCAGCCGTAACAATATTACGTTCGCACTTAAACGTTCTACCTCTATTAACGATGCTACGCTCTCACTAGACGCTAGAACACCACATTTAGGATCCGATGAAGAAATTTCCATTTGTCGAAAATGCATCCGGATAAGCATAATTCTGTAAAGGATACTCTGTCGTGTCTCGATCAAAATTCAATTGTATTTTTTACCTTGAAGTTTTCAAGACATTTTCGATGCTCCTATTAAAAAATCTTCTATCATACTTTTCATATCTTCTCTTATCTTATATCTTATATTTTTGCGAATTTGTAAATTCCCTTAAGCTTAAATGAAAAGAAAATTCCGACAGACGAGTTTGCTACATCTGTTAGACTTGAATGTGGTATTCGAGATCGGCTTTTGAAGTACGGTGTGCTTGAAAGTTACACGTCCAACAATGAAATCGCACATGGCTCATAAATTTCGATTTCTTCATTCTTTGATCTCTCAATTGAATCGCGAAATTTTAGAGAAAGTTTTACTCCAAAAATGTAAAAAATCTGTGTTCACTGCACGTAGCACTTTATACAGACACGCATTCAAGTATAAAAAAGACGTCCTTTCAACCGGTATGATCTAATATAACGGTATAAGCTAAGAAAAAACGTGCTCGTACGGTCGATTCTCATCACAGCGAGCTTCTATCTTGTACCCCGAAAAATAAAGATTTTGGAGTAACGTTCTCTGTAAGATTTACCGATTCAATTCGCGCTCAATTGTGGATCAGAATATCGATACCTAATATTATCGTGCTCAATAATATTCAGTAATATCGATATTCGGATGACGATATATATATAAATACGCATCCCCCCGTCCCTCCCGGGTGCATCGCCACAATATTTCTCTGCGTGCGAGCGTGCGTGCACGCGCGTCGCGCGCACGTCGCACACATGCTACTACATCCAACGCAATGTAAAAGTTCGTTCCGCCTACATGCCGAACGTGCGCGTGCAAAATGTCACGCGAGCACGCGCGCACACGTCGACGCTCTATTTATATAATCTATATAATATATAGTGTAACTCTCTGCGCGGGATTTTCGTCGCGGCGCGCGTGCATGCGTGAGGGTACACGCGGCTTTCGCATACGCAGATGACCATACGTATGCGTGCACATATATGCCACATATGGCGTTTGATTGAGACTACAAAAACATATGCACAGCTCTTCTTCTTCTTCTTCTTCTTTCTCTTCTTTATTTCTTTTTCTTCTTCTTTGTCTTTCCCGCACAATTGTAAAACGAAACGTAAGTAACGTGCGTTCACGTAAATTGTACTACGGTAATATTGTAATCGTGATAGGTGGTTAGCAATAGCAGAGCAGCGGTGGCGAATAGTGTAATAGCACTGTTGGTTTTCATTATCCATATAGCAACAATTCTTCTTGTTCTCCCTCCTCCTAATCTTTATTTTTTTTTTGTCATTTTTCTTTACCAACGCCCGCGCGCGATTCGTAATTAATCGTAATCGTTATGATCCTCCTTATGTACAACGTACGCTCGGTGTAACGCGTACATTTGCCACTCAACACGATTTACAACGAGCTCTCTTCCTCGGTCTACATGTGTACATATAGATTTACATATGCATTAATGCACATATACGCATATACGTTTGTTGCGTGCACGTCTGTGTAGGCGTATATTCTCTCTTTCGCAAATGTGTTAATTACATCGATCGAATAATGATCGTCACCGCCATGAAATTAGTTACATGTAACTTACACACACACACACACACATACACACACACACGCACACACACACACACACACACACACACGCACACATTCATTCACTCACTCACTCACTCATGAGAAACGCTCGCAAATCGCTTGCGCTTGGCATATCGCGCGAGACACGTCGATCCGAAATTTATTTCTGCATTACTTAACGTGTTGTTGCTTCCTAAGTACTATCCTGCACGACACAGTCAGTTCCATCAACTAAACGCATGAATTCAGTTACACGAACTAGCTGTAGCAGACAAAACGCGTTTCTTTTACACATAAGGTTTTCTCTGTTTCGGATAATTAATATATTAATTAGTCTATCTAACAATGCGTTAATTATTCCTTGATGAATACAATTAATTGAAGTCTCGCCGCGAGTCTCGCCGTGAGACCTCGCAGAGATTCAGGAGATTCAGGAGTCACAAGAATGCCACAAGTGATTATTCTGGTAAAACAGAGCGGCGCAGTTTACTTGTGCTCCGAAATTTGCTGTTGTATCAGCATTATCTCTTGCGGCATTCTCTTGACTACTCATGAATTTATACGATTTCAATTTCAAGATTTTCAAAGTATGCTGATCTATCATAAGAAAATTATTATTCATCACGGTATTCTCCTGATCCTAGTATCACAATTTGAGCAAGAGCTAAATTGCGCAGCTCTGTTTCACGAAAATAATCACTCGTAGCATTCTTGTGACTCCTGAATCTCTGCGAGGTCTCATAGCGAAAGCTTCAACGTGCAGAGAACTCATAACTTTATAATTATGAGCTTTATTCTTAACTTAATTCTAGAGCTCATCAGCTTAATTCTAGAGTTCGTTACATACATGTATATGTAACTCTCTATAAATTATTTACAATTCTTCCTGCACAACAGCAATATATTTGTTGCGTGTAAATTAATAATTCACATTCTTTCACTTATATGTATGTATGTATGTATGTATGTGTGTGTTGTGTATATTGTGTGTTTGTGTGTGTGTATTTATATATATTTATATGTATATACATTTGTCGCAAGTATGCAAGAAAATATCTCTCTGAATCATGTATATAATTCGAGTTGTATCTTTGGATGTGGCCAAAAATAGATTTAACTAACATGATAGGTCATTGGTGGGATCTTCTCGATTCAAGGATGGTCAATTGTATGTTGATCAGAAAGAACACCGTCGTTGTTTCGTTTATACGAGTAATTTTCGCGAAATATGTTACAGTGAATAGAGTGCATAGAGATGGATTATTAATATTCATCTATACATTCTTAAGCGTCATGATTCGAAACGAGTATTCAATCAGCAATACCTTGACCAATCCCTGTATGCTTGCATACTATATAATTGCCGAATTATATAGTATTGTAGTCCTACAATGCAGATTAATAATTTATACAATTGATTACTCGATATGCACGTGCAAGAGCATTTTTTTAGTTTACCATTTTTTTTTCTTTCTTTCTCTATATATACTGCTTGATCGATACTGATTAGGTTAATATAACGTTCTATCTATCATTCACTATTACATATAGGCAACTAACAATAAGTATCTGTACCTGATGGCATTTTCGCGCGTATATATCGTTCATTCGCTTCGATAAAAAAATAAAACACAAAAGATATATGACGAAACATACAATGATAAAAGTCTAAAACTGTAAGTACGATAAAAATTCCATCAGGTATGCCACTAATTTGTGCTTCATCGATTAAGTGTGTAACAAAGAAGTACCTTTTTTGTTTTAAGACTTTAAAAAGTAGCAGCCCTATCACAGTGTGGCTCGGAGTGAAGGCGATTTTTATAATCCGTTTAAAAAAGATCAGAAGTACTTATAAAACAGACTCTATTTGCTTGATCTCCTTCTCGGGTGGCTCTAAGGGTGACGGCGCGGTTTCTACTATCTCCGGTATATCCTCCTCGTTCTCTTCCTCAATATCTTCGTCGATTGGAGTCAATGTATCTAATATCACAGGTTGAGTCTGCAACAACGTAAAATAATTCGATGAATTATCGTATAAGTAATAATAATAATTTTTTATTGCCATTGTATAATATCAAATATCATATTAACAAGAGATACAGAATAAAAGAATAATGAAAGAAGAAGGAAAGTGTTGCGCAGGCAAAAGGGTCAACAAGGATGCTGTTATAATGCCTACTTATTACATTATTAATAATAAAACAAAGAAAATAATCAACATACAATATTCATTGTAATAACAAAAAAGAAAAAAAGAAAAATTTCGATATTATCTTGTAAGTTGGTGAGAAATACTATTTTATCAAAAATGTATCAATGAAACTAACGTCAAATGCAAGAATAATGCGATATAATTAAATAACACCGAATGAAAAGTTGATATAAATTATATAGACTTACCTGCGGTGTAGTACACCGTTTCATAGCAGGGGCCATGAAACTAGTAATAGTGCTTACAAGGAAGAAGAACCCTGCCATGAAGAACGGGATACTGTAACTTTGCGTCGCATCATAAACAGCGCCCGCTAAGGGTGAGCCAACTATAGCGGCAGCCCCTCTGAATAGAATTAAAAGGCCGAAAGCGTTCGTTAATTTGTCTAATCCCAAGAGATCCACCAAGATGATTGACGTTAATGAGATATAGCCAGCTAAAATCGAAATAATAGGATAGTAAGAATATTCAAAATTTCCAAAATAAGCTGGACATTCCATAATACTTTCTAAAATAATAGATGTGCGTAGTTGAGATACTTACATATTGCTATCCCAAAAAATATGCTCATGATGATATAAGCGGCATAACTATGGCAAAATGGCGTAGCGGCCACGGCGATTGTAGATATAATTAAGCAAATATTGTTCAGCAATAAGGAATCGACTTGCGGAAAATCAGCGACATATCCACAAGCCACACGACCTATGGTGTTCGTTATTCCAATAATAGATAATAAGAATGATGCAGAGTTGCTTTCAATTCCCTTAAAAAAAAAAAAAGAAAGAAACGACATTTATTGAATTATGATGTTGCATATAATCCAGCGATATACTGGAGATTAATAAATAACGTACATCTAAGACCGCGGCATCCACCAGATATACAAAAGGGACGTACAATCCAGCCATACCAAACACATTGCTAATACCAATTAGGAGGAAAACAGGATCTTTCAACAAAGACATATCCATCATCGTCGCTAAAGCTTCCTTAAACGATTCGGGTAATACCAAGCAAGGACACAATGGCTCTAAAACATTAAAATCTAAATTATTTTTTTTCTGGGCTTTAATCGTTAAAATTATCGTTTAAGTTATATATATATATATGTTAAGTTCGAATCAGGAATAATGTACAACGGCTTACTATGACTGTCATTATTTTAAACGGAGCATAAGCAGACCTACGTATGTCCATGTCAACGGTTCCGATCAAAAAAAAAAAAAAAAAGAGAGAAAATCGTGTCAAACCGTAAATCGGCGATAGCCCCCATTTGCGAGAACTACGGAATTCTGCTTTATGCTTTTTCACGCGCGCGTACCTTATTTGTCACGTATTTATGCTCGCGTAATCCGGATCTCCTTAATAGTATATATATGAAGAAACGTATGTACATACGTACATATAATATAAAGGAAAATATACGTACGCTGTTGCGCTTTTTCTATATCGATGTCTTTCAAATCACCACGTACAGATTTGGGGAGAGATACAACACTCTGACGGTAATTGGCGAGGGATTTCTGGCTTTGGTACTCTGGTAAATTGACTACGCTACCACTGTAGAAAATATCCTTTCTCGACAAGGGACGGACCATCATTGGTTTCTCCTTTGGGATACTAGCTTTACTTGTAGTAAAAGTAATACTCTCACCGTCCTAAAAACAGACAAATATCGCGTATATTATTTATGAGATTATTAGAAAAATGTTTGTGCGTTGGGAAGAAGGAGCGTTTTCTAAGAAAAACGCGTTCGAAAAATCTATAAAATAGATCTGACTTACATCAACCTCGGCATTATTATTTCGCGATCCCAACATGCTGCTCGTGGAAAGTCTCAGATGCAAGCTCTTTCGGATATCTCCGTTAGAATTAAGCGTTGTCCTAGAATTCTTTATTGCACTAAGGCTAGGCTTGTAACGTTCGCTGGTACTCGTCTTACGGATTCTGTCGAAGAACGGCACGGAGCCGTTTTTAGGCAAACCTTGAACGTGGGTCGTGAAAGCCGGCTGCGATGCGTTTCTGGGGATTATCGTCTTATTAAACTCGTTCTCGGGCTTCTCCGCTTCCTTCGTGTCTTTGGTTTCATCGATACTCTTCCTGCTCTTGGTCTTGTTGGAAATATTCTTTAAATCCATGCTGCCACTATCGCTAGTATGTCCACTAGATGAATGCTCTTGCACCTTCACTTCGGATATGGTGGGAAGGGTTGGCACCGTCGGAACTGGTGTTAAAGGAGTTCCTTTAATATTACGGGTGTTCAATTGAAGTACCACAATTATTTTGATTACTTGGAAAGCGCCCGTGGATTATGGAAACGTACGTCATTTTGATTTTGAGATGATTAAATTTTCCGCGCGTTTTCCCAATAATTCACAAATTTTCAAATTAATTACAATATTTTTACTTTAAGGCTAATAAAAAGAGGGCTATTGAACAGAGCTGGTTCTTCGTGCTGAAGTGCTCTACTCAACAAAATTAAAGCATCTCTTAAAATCAGCGTTAAAAAGAACTAAATTTAAAGTAAAATGTCCTTGCGAAAAATGGTCGCAAAGCTATGTTTAAAAAGTGTTTTAAAGCTTGAAATCTCGTCTTTCGAATATTTCAAACCTCATTTCTCTGCAACAATTTTTTTTAACTGAATTCTTGACAATTTATGACAATTTGTAACAATGTCGCGAATGACAAATTGCAAATACGCGTATGGTATCTTTAAAGAAAACAACCACTTTTGATATAAAGATTTTATTTCTCTAAAGCTGCTACGCACATATTCGCAATTTATCACGAATTTATTGTCGAATGACGACTGCATGATATGTTCAAATTAAAGTTTTCTCTTTAATTTTTTAAGGTTTACTTTTTTCTAAATTAATGCTGTTTTTCAAATCGTTACAGAGAAATGGGGTTTAAAGCCTTCGAAAGACGAGATTTCAAACTTTGAAATTTTTTCATTTTTCTAAACATCATTAAGTGACTATTTTTTGCAATGGCACGTTATTTTTAATATAAATCTTTTTAGAAAGCATTGGTTTTAAGTGATGCTTTAATTTTGAGTAGCATGTATTTCGAGTAAGTAAATATAACTTAATCGATTTCTATGTCTACCAATGTAGATTAAATTTAATCTCTGTTTAACTTACTTTTAATCTTTATCTAGTTGTAAGAATCAGAAGAAGATAAAGAGTAAATTAAACCGAGATTAGAGTTAATCGACACTAGTAAAAAAAGATATTACAAAAACGTTTCGATTTTTGATGTGATCGTCTTCAGTGTATTATTACGAATAAATAATCGTATTACAAAAAAACAGTTGTCCAAGTGTACAATAAAATTGCACAATTTAAAATCGTTATGATATGCATTTTTTAATTGTTTTTACTCGAATATGCTGTTTATGAATGTTTAACATTGTCAACTGTTTTTGTTATATTTGTTTGTAATAATTGAAGTATATATTGAAGATGAGAGCACATTAAAGGTCGAAACGTTTGTGACACTCTAAATTAAATTGTATTTACTGATTCGAAACATATTTCGAAATAATAACTCTCTTGATTAGCCTCGATTATTACTGTTACGTGTCTATTTTCATTTTTTTTATTAATTTTTATTTTTACCTTGTTCTAAGAGATTATACCTGATAATGTAACCGGAATAAAAAGTACGATTAATTTTCCGATATTTGCGACTTACTCCACTTTTACGATCACCGGAACATTTGTCAAATTTGATGATCAGAGTTCCTTACCAGGCACTAATTGGTCTAAATTGAAGCTGGAATGAACACCGGGATCAATATTAATGGGCATTTTCATCCTCTTTTCCATGGATCCGTCCGGTAATTGCACCATAAAGTAGGAGCCACCGATACTACCACGTTCCATTTGAAATCTCTTCTCCTCGGCCATTCTTTGTAGCAACGGCTTGACGGAGGAAGCCTTCGGATATTCCAGAGGTCTCATCATGGCACCGAATACCTAAAAATCATCTATTAGAATTTTTTTTATCAGATATACGAGATGCCGTCTCGATTAATCTAAAGCTTTGTTGTTACCCGTGCACAATCAAAGCAGCGAGGAGCAGCGAGTGAGTGATTTTCACGCGCTGTTGTACTTACTGCGCAATTCAAGATGAGACCGGCCAGGATTAGGTTTGCTCCCTTCCAGCTGTACGCCTCCAGCAACATAGTCGCGAGAGGCGCGAACGCGAATGTACCGAATCCCGATCCGCACACTGCGATGCCGGTAGCTAGGGATCTCTTGGTTTCAAAGTAATAGCCTACACAAACTACTGCGGGCAGATATATCAAACCGAATCCAATTCCTAAAAGAACAATTGTCGAGACGTGAGGAACGAGACGAGGCTGGTGGAATTACAGAGAATTATCGAGGGAATGGATCGTTACGCACCTCCCATAATACCGTAAGTCACCATAAGCATATTTACACTGCTCGAAAATGTCGAAAGTACAAATGCGGCGGCGCCTAAGAAACTTCCTGCCATACATACTGCTCTACAGCCATATTTATTCGTTAAAGCACTGACAACGGGTCCTACGACGTGGAAAAATTAACACGTAATGTAATATGTATAGCGATAAATACGTCACCACTAGATATTATTTTAATGACTACCATATATATTTAGTGTCAGCTTTATTGAGAAATAAAGCCATTTGCCATTACAACAAGGCCATAGTTTAATCTTCTTTCATTAAGATAAAGCGTACTCGAGGATTTTCGATCAAAAGATAGATTGTTCGTCTCACTATTACCAATTTTTTTATAGTGTAAGTATAAAAATTTTTTCCAAGGAAAAATCGATTTCTCCTACGAAGGATGCGTCGTTATAATATTTTCCGGCCGTGGTAGCGTATCCTAGGCTTTAAAGATCAATTTAGCGAAATTTCAGAGGCACTTCGCGTGCGTATCTTACCAGCGCTGAGGTACATTCCAGACAGCAATGAGCCAACCCAGGCGGTCTTGCCCTTTCCCTCCCCAAAGTACTTGACGAATTCTCCGAGAAAGACACCGAACGTGTAGGCAATGCCGTCCACTATCATGTTACACATAAACGATGCAAATACCACCACCCAACCATATCCACCGTCCGGCGGTGGTGGTATATCGTGATACTCGCAGAGCGAACCTCCCTCATCTTCCGGTGAAGCTTCATCGCCACCCGGACCATCGTTCCCCGTTAATCTCGATTGTTCTTCTACTGAGTATTCGCTCTCCGTCTGAAAAGGAAACGTAGCGCAATGATAACCGTGTTATTCTCAACAAACAACATGTGTTAAAAAAAAAGTGATGTATTTTATGCGTTGTAAGATAAATGCATCTCCACATAAAATCCCATCTATAATGAGATGTTTTATTCATTAGAAAATAATTCTTCGTATCGTGTGCGCGCATAAAAGAAAAACGTCTGAGAGAAAAGATAGTTTAAATTTTAAATGTATCTTTTTCTTATCCATGACATAATTTTAATAATGTATCATGCATGCATTGCATGTATGTACATTACTAAAATATGGCAGGTAATTATTATATGAATTTACAGCATCCATTTACGCATCGCGACTCAAATTTTTTTTCGTCGCGACAATTTAGCGCGAATAATTACGTGACAGCGTATACTTTGGGCCGCGTATCGTTTTAATAGTTTCACAGAAAAACCAGCAAACGCATATAATTGAGGACTATGTTGTACCTCGCGTGGTACAAATGCGTAGCATTCGCCTTGAACGAGACTTGCCGTTCACCTTGAATGCTCTAAGAAAAAGCTTCTTTTCGTGTTGGTGCATAAGTACTCATTCTCTAATTCGCTGACTTACAAAATAAGTCGATTAGATTTCTTGTTTTACAAATCATGGACAAATAGAATAGTTTCCCGATATATTAAAAAATGTATTAACATTAACAATAGGTATCTTAAAATGAGCGAAATTATAAAGCATATTAAATTCAATTAATATATCAATAATAATTTTGCCTTTTCCAATGAAAATTATCCAATATTTTATAATAATCGCCTGCCGTAATAATAAGAATTAATTTTTTATACACGAAAAAACTTGAACGTAATTTATTTTGAAAAAGACAGCTATAGATTAGTCACATATTTTCAACTTATAATTGCTATTAAAAGATTGTCTTTTATCCTTTAAAGACAACTATAAGGACAATTGAAAACGTGCTTATTCATAATCTTCGGATTTTGTATTCTCTTCTGTCTCTTTACGTGCAGAAATGCATTTTTCGCGCGAAAGAAACAGCGTCGAAAGCACTAGAAATGAGTCAGATTTTCACACGCGCACAACAGGCGGGGAAATCGGAGAACTCGCGGACATGCAAAATCGTATGCCACGGGCTCGGCGATTTCGTTAATCGCGAGTCCTGAAATTATCGCGGATCGTAACGCGAGAACAGAAGCGCGCGCATTAGGATGATCTCATAACGCAAACGCCAGCACAGATATTAAATAGCTAACTGTGACTTAATCAGTCTCTAAGGCTACATCTGGCCAAGGTGATACACGTCGCTCTCGTAGAATGCAACGCCAAGATCGAATCGATAAAGGAACGGTTGTTTGCGATCCGAGCCGCGTTTCGCGGAGATGCAATTACGTTCGCCGGTGTATCATTAACGCTCAACTCGTTACACGAGAAACGATATGTTGAATTATACAGTGGACGGATTTCTTCAATTTATTTCTTCATGTATAATGGAAAACGCAATCTAGCAGCATAAAACGGTTGTCTGCGTTTGAAATTTTTTTCGAAAGGTTTTTGCGAGAGTAGCAATTATCGATATTTGAAACTGCTGACATTCACGAAAGATACTGGTTTATTCAGCATGTGTGAATATTTCTTTCATTAATATTACGTTCACATTTAATATTATTTCAAGTCAGTTAACACTGCCGAATAATTGATCGGGACGTTTAATCCGGTAACCGCAGGCGATCATGTTGGGCTTTAATGAAAAAAACAGCTTATTAATACCGAGATATTAATATCACGTTAATCGAGAAGGGGAAATATCGAGTTGCGCCCACGCGATGCGACTAATCAACGACGTTTTAGCGCTCGCAGGTGTTTCTATGTGATAATTACACGAGATTATTGAGCTACCGACAATCAATGAAAGCAAAACGCTCGTATGTTATTAATTACTTCAGCAAGCAGAGACGATAAGCGGGAATTTCAATTGTTAGTAAACAGTATTATTTATCCGAATTATTCATCCGCCCGTAATTTTATGTCTTGCAAAATAAGAACGATAGAAAGTATAATTTTATTTAATTATATAGTAGCATTTTATTTATAAGTATATAGAATATATTAAATATGTATTCTCTATATAAAAATTCTTTACATTCCCTATAGAATATAATTTGTATAATTTTTCAATTGCAATTTTATTGTACAGATTCCGTATAATTTCAGTTGCAATCTCGTATAGATTTCATGCAATTTCAGTCGCAGCTGTTCGTATTTTACGCAAATTACTTATGATTTCAGTTCTCATTTGTCGTCAATAAAGTCAATTAGCGGAATGCTTCGCTAGCTCGGAAAATCGTGCAAAATTTTGATATTTCCTTCTCGAGATTATTGATATATATATATTCACCGGCCTCGCCTCTCTATCTCTTTACATCTCGCCGCGAGACACGGAGCCCCCGACGCTAATGAATTTGGATCAACGACCTCGCGTGTCGCGCGGCCGCGAAGACGAATTTAAATGCGGCGCGCGCGCGCCCGCGCGCGAGAGTTGGACTCCGGCCGAAAGGAAGGCCACAGCTGATCAGCTGATCGCGCGCTGTCATTCCGATCGCGCCACCCGACGACGAGAGGCGCGAAGCTCGCTCTCTTTCTCTCTCTAGCGAGAATCCGCGCTCTCCGCCTCGCGATTCGTTCGACCTTGTTTTGCTCGCCGTTGTTAACACATATACGCGCGCCCGTAGTCCCCCACGTACGTACGCACCGTGTCGTAATGCAAAGTAACGCGAAACGCGTGCGTGCGAATGCAACCATCGGCGGCATCGCATCGGCGCCTTCTCCCGCCGATCAACCGGCCCCGATTGTCAAGGCTGAGTCACGTGTCGCCTTCCCCGTCGCGTCCCCGAGAGACGAGCCACGCAAAACGACGCACGATCGCTCGCCGCGATGATGATTATATACGACACGTAAATAGCGATCATCGTTCCGGCGGCCGAGAGGCTGCGCGAACTGCGCTACGAATTACCGGCACGTCCGGTTTAGATTACGCGAAAATCGATAACGGTTCGGAGCAGCAACGGTTGGAGTACGGAACGTCTGTCGCGCGAATTTTCTATGCTCCAACATAGCGTTGACATAGCTCCAACATTCCACGATGAACAACCACCGTATCTGTATCTCGTCTGTTTTGGAGTATCGTGAAAGAGTCGACGGGACGTCTTTAAAGGGATTTAACAGATGTTTTGCTAGTCTTTTAATTCAAACTTTGTTCAGAGATGACACTTTCTGACCGTTGTGTCCGACAAAGTACGAGGGTCAGGTAGAGAAACCTGATTATTTGGTCTCAATGGCAGACAGATTAGATGGGACGGGAAAGAGAGAGAGAGAGAGAGAGAAAAAGAAGCAGGCAAACTGGTATGCAGGAAGGAAGGAAGAAAGGAAGATGGCACGCGAATTCGTACATAACCGACGACACCGCGCGACCATGCCTCTCGCTTCCCCATGATATCATATACGTACCGAGCTGATTTTGCGGACGCGACGCGAGCCGTACTGCGACTTGTTGAGCGACACTCGCGACATTCTACGACCGCCTTAAACCGTCAGTCACTCTTCTTCTCTCTTTCTCTCACTTGCTCTTCTGGCCGTCGACCGCCTCTCTTCTCTTCCCTTTGGCGTCCGCTCGCTCGTTCGCTCGCGGTCGCAACCGCGTTCTATTTTCGAGCGCGCTCGGCGCGATTCGCGGCGACGCGACGCGACGCGACGCGACGCGATTCGCGACGGCCGCCCTCCTCGGTCACGAAAGCGACTTTATCACGTCGTGCAACACTCCGCTCTCCGTTATCGCGCCCGCGTCCCTTTCGCGACTCCTCTCTCTCTTTTTCTCTCTCTCAGTTTGTCGGCACGTTTCTCTCTCGCTCCTTCCGACAACCCGCCACAGGCCCACCCGTCGCGGCGATCACTCGTCGTAATCCGCTGCCATGTCGAGACTCCGACCTGCACTGTGCTGGCGCGCTCGCGTCGTCGTCCGCACTCGCTCACTTAGCGCACTGCCATCGTGCGCAGCGCGCACCGCGCCGGTACCCGGCAACTCTCGCCGTCGAATGTAGAAGTGGGAGAATAAAGGAGAGGGATCTCGCTCCTCGATCTCCTATCTGATCCAAGGAGTGTGCAGTCCCTGCACGAGCGAGCGAGAACGGTGAATATCGTCGATGCCCTCGATGCGCGGGCGCCGCAGTTTTCGCGGCGGGGTCTTCGAGGTGTTTCTCAGATCTCTCCACAGAGAAGTCACTCTTTGGTTAATTTCGTTCGATCGTCCGAGATGATTTGTTCCGTATCGGACGACTTTCCCGATACACTTCGCCTCCAATCTGCTCTTTCTTCGTTCGCTCGCTTTTCGTTTCAGCGAACTGTATCATTTACTTGGTTGGAAACTGTGCATCTTGAGAATTTTCCATTTCGCTCGTTATCGAAATCGCAGAAACGTCTCGAGGATTTAGACGATCCAACAATCTTTTTAATGCACCATGCTCCAATTTTTTATTTAATTTTATTTTTTACCCGATTTATTCCTTTCTCTTAAAATTAAATTATTTAATTAATTAAATTAATTTAATCGCTCTCTATAAAAGTAAAGGTATTTGCAGTGATTTGCTTTCGTCTGTGAAATAACGTCACCGTTGTTCTCGGCAGAGCGAGGGGGAAACCTCAATCGGCGCCCGTGCGCGCACGTGCTAAGTGACTCACGTGTGCGTCGCGGATAAAAGATGCGTGTGCGCACGACGCACAGTGCGCTTGCCGAGCCCCTTGTTTTCGTCGCGTTTTGTCACGTACGGATATAGTACGCCGCTTCCGTCCAAGATGCCCGGGTTGCCGAACCCCGCACGCGTCATCAGCGGAATCAATCGTGTGATTACGCGCGCGGACTCCTCTCGTTTGGAAAACCCGTTGCACTTAAACCCGTTCCCTCCTCGTTCCCGCCAGGTACTTCGTCACGGCTATCGATTCGATATACGGCACGCGGAGGAGTATATCCGCACGTGTATTCGCCGACCGCAGGCTGCAGAGCGGAGCGGGCTCGAGACGAGACGGAACGCTACTGGTTATCTCCGCTAAATCCGCGAGAAGTTTCAACGCGCGTCCGCGATTGTGGGACGCTTCCAGACACCTCCAGAAGCGCGAACGAAAACGCGAACGTCAGAAAGAAATTCGATCGACGCAGCGTTCTCCGAAGCTTTCGACGCACTTTCGCAGAAGAGAGCTAGTCAACGTGAAGAACGGAGAGTCACGCTCCCGTCATTTCCCACGCGATGACGTCTTGGCGACTTCAGAAGAAAATAATACGATCCATTCGTGCACTATATTGTCGCGTTCAAGTCGTGCAGTTTTTTATCTCTCTCTCTATTTCTCTTTCTTTTTTTCTCCTCTCAGTCTTGTCTTTAAAGTAGATTCAACGCTCCCTGTACTCCCCTGTATCGCGATCCTGATACATCATCCTCAAGCCTCCTGCGCAGAACGTTCGAGAGTGCTTATCTCTCAAGTGGATCTCGATGCGTCCACGATATAATCGCGAGTGATCCGCTGGTAGCTTTCCTTTCTCTCCCTCACGCGACACCCGCGAACCCCCGGGGGCTTCTCGGCAGCACTGACAGTTTGCACGCAGTCAAGAACGTCCAGAGTGGCACTATATATCGAGGATATCCGCGACGCAGCACGGCAGATTCTATTTATACCCGAGAACGCGCGGCGACTCTCGAAGCTCGTCGAACTTCCGCGAACAAAGCAGCGGCCTCGTCCTCCTCCGCGTCGTGCGTATATAACGTTTCCTAAATCGAGACCGCGGTTTTCTTCCCCCGCTGATGCGACGCGGCGCGGCGGAGAGCGAGAGATCGCGTTCACGACGTGTGTCGTGCGAGCACCAAAATCGACGCCGGCGGATCGCCTTTCTCGGAGCGAATGTCGGAGCGAACCTCGCGCTTTCGTCGCCTCATGTTGTTGATCTAGAGAATAGCATTGTGTGACGGCGAATTGTACATTCAAATTGATGGAGATTCGCGCGGGGCGCGCATTACGTGTATTTGCGACCTTTCGAGGCGAGCGAAGTCGCCTCGTCACTCGCGACGAGGCGCGCGCGATCTCGACCCTCCGAGCGGAATCGTTTCGCGCGCCTCGTCGACGGGGTTGAGGCTCGCTCGCGTAGCCGCCGCGTGTGACCCTCTCCGTCGAGGCGTGGGACTGTGCGAAGCTCACCTACCATGCCGCCGCCGATGTGTATACACGCCGCACATCCTCGTTCGCGCGCGTGCATCCCCACTCGGACTCGAGAATTGCGTGGCACGTCACGGCGAAGCGAGCATCCGCTCCGGCGCGACGGCGTCAAGGGACGCGAGCGCGCATTTTCCAGCGCGCGTCATTCGCGCCGATCATCCGGGAGAGGAGGGAGATTCCTCGCAGGGACGTTTCGCTTTGTCTCGAGACCCTAACTCGCGTTTATTTCGCGAAATACCGGTTTCTGTAACTTCAGAACAATGGGCAAACTTTTAATACTTGCGATCCCTTTCCACAGAAATTGGACGCGACCCATTAATTTTTTTATCGTACATACAAATGAAGATTAATATAATAATAATAATAATTTTTTATCATTTTAATTTACATATATGTATAAAATTTAATAATTCTAATTGTTTTAGTACATACAGTTTTTCTACATTAAAATAAATTGTACATTAATATCTATTATAATATATAATAATATCTATTATAAGAACAACAAATGTCGCAATCCCCATCAATTAATTTTTACGCGATTTATAGTTTACACATTGTTGCTTTAGAAGAATAAATCCTATACAATCAGAAAATGTATGTATCCATATATCATACATATGAACTAACAATACTTTCTATTTAACAACATTGGATAATTTTCGCGGGCAGATGCGATCGCTCGTTCCGCCATAATTAAACCACGTGCCACACAACTTAAGTGATATTTAGAGAATTAACTCGTTGCGCGCGTCAGAATTGTGGGCCTTGGAGTATGGCGCCTCATTGCTATAAAAATGTTATCCCCAGCAGTGATCTTACGAATAGGTCTGTTTGCGACGGAGAAAACAGCAGCTTCGTATCAAATGAATTTTATGGATTTAATTTTAGAGGAATGTTTGACGCATTTATTTTCGTCTCGGCCAATGGGTGATTCATTACGATCTGTCGTGGGACGTTTGTCACGTACAATAACCAGCATTCAATATCGCGAGCTCCCAATTAGAAAGGGCTTAAGGTATAGTCGGACAAAACGGACGGCTGATTGAAACTCGATAGAACCAGAAATTTTAATTTTACGAGATGGCGTCTGAGTTCACAGATTCTTAAGAAGTCATTATTTTCGAATCCCTGTATTATTAACTTACGATTCCGAGAATTGCAATCGCTGGCGACAAGTGGAAGAAGCCTCGTCTTCTTTCGCGCGGTTAGAACAAAGCCTTAAGGCCGCCCGTCTAATTGTGAGGCCTTCGATCGAATCAGAGAGATGGAACTTACAACGAAACGCTGGTCGAGACGCTGGTCCGCCGAATCGGCCATAGCGCCGTATATATCGTGTATACACAATAACGCTCGTTCCCTTCGGGCTGCCTGCCGTGGCGAGGATCACGGCGAACGCCGGCTCCGTGTCGGCGCCGTGCCTCGTATACGAGCGAAATAATCCCGGGACAATGTCAAAAGTTAGCCGGAACGCGGCCGCGAGCTGCGGTCACGCGAAGCACTGTGCGACCGCGCGGCGCAATGCTCGCGCGCGCCCGATGACGCTTATGAATTAATTAGATAATAACCAGCGACAATTAGAGCCGAAGGCACGGACGCATGAAAACACCATCTGCTTCTCATCTCCGCGGAAAAGTTTCGCGGCGGTCTGAACGCGGCGCGAATAAATAAACGGGCGTGTCTGTTACGGTATATGAATCCGCTTCACTTCGGTTCCGCGTTAATGTAATAATGATTGAAATCTTCTGGGAAAATTTATTGACGCACATTCTTGATGATTATTTACGCGCATTAGAATTTTTATAAGCCTGCGATTTGCAAGATAATAATGCTCTCAAACATTCAAATTAGTATACTTTAATATGAAAAAGCCTTCAGAAAAAATATTCTATTTTTATATAAATTTTATCAATTACTTTACAGAATTAATCTTTTCAGTTTCGCAAGCTTTACAATTTTCAAGTTTCTAAAATCTACAATAAAATCCGAATAAAATCTACGGATTAAAAAATAAATTTTTACATTTAGGAATTATTTTTGTAAGTTGAAAATGTTTCTATCTAAATTATTTAATCTAAATTATTTAAATCGATGAAAATACTTGTTTATTTAAATTTTTTCCTATAAGGAAATATCTAAGCTATGTTAGCACTTAATGGAGGTAGACACTTAAGTCTCGATATTGTTCCTCATCCGAGGAAAATAATCTCGGGATAAATCGTGATAATCCTGTGTTTGCACAAACAAAGCTCAAATACATCGCACACAAGATAGACGATTTCAACGAAACGAGTTTCGAAGTTACTCGTTTACGCGGCCTGTTTATCGGCCTGGTAATTTGCTCGGAGCGCACGTAAGGCCGATAAAAATTGAAGTGGCTGTCGCGAATGATAAACGAAAAACTCGAGCATTATTGAGCGCGAGGTATCGACTATTCCCGGAATTTTGTTTCCGGGGCGAGATTATTTAATCGCGAGCCGATCGCTGCAATTGCTTGCGCGAATAATTTACGATTAAGAATCCTCGAGCCCAAAGGGAGAGCAACGTTCGATGAGTCACATTTAGTATTTGTTTGTGCACGCGCTCTAATTACTGGCAACCTTACTGGTTTGTACCACCGCCTGTTGATAGCGAAGTCCACGCGCTTCCGCGCGCTACATTCTCAGACGCAAACGACCGCGAGCGCATTGCGATGTATAGTCATCGCGGAAATGGACGTATAATCGTAAAGCGAAAATTCGTTAGGAGTGAACGATATTTTTTAGCGATTGAAATTAAAATTAAATTGAATTAGGATGCAAACAAGTAAACCCGTGTAAATTCCGATCCCGGTATCGAGACATATTTTTTTTTCCGACGTAGAACGTACAACTTTTATTACGCACAAATAACGATAACTTCATTGATTTATCACGGACATTCCATCTTACGTAATTAGGAGTCTATCGTACGTGAAGTTATTGACGCGATATATAGAGAATTTAATCGACACAAAATAATCTGTGGCAGAAACGCGATCTAATATCTGACGGTTGAACAGCCGCGGATGCGAGGTGTGTTCGACATCGATAAAAGGACGATAACGGGTTCAATAAACACTCAAAAGATAAGGGGCTCGGGAAAGTAGATCTTGATCTTCCTCGAGTCACGAGTGTGTTATAAACCATATTGCGCGATAGAAGTCATCTGCAGTTCGGAAAATGAAGTGACGGTCTCTCGAGTTGGTCTTTTGTAATTTTTCAGTCGAAGAATTTTTTTACATAAAGAGAATAATTGATAGATATATATTTAATATATAATATTTTAAAAATTACAACGAAAGAGAGAGAGAGAGAGAGAGAGAAACATGCTCGCGGAAATGAGCATATATCATCGTCCGAGATACAATATCATGTTTAGTCAGTGCCGCGATGTCGCATTATCAATTTGCTCGTCAACCAGCCTACAACCCACTTTCACTCACGCATTTCGAGATTGCTCGGTCATGTGATGCGCACATTTTTTTGCCATTTACCTTGAGGAGACCGATTGAAAAATAAACGCTAAAAAGACACGCGCAAAAAATACGGCGTAAATCTGCAAATTGCACGTCACAACGAAATATCGATAATTTGTTTAAAAGGCCATTCAGGCACTTATTACGTGACTCTCTTTTTCAGAGAACCTATTTGCTCTATTTCAGATAATATTTAATGGAACGGCAAATAGAGGATTATCGTTTTTAATATTTTTTTGAAGTTCCTAAGAACCCCTCCCAACGAATTCAATGATCCCAGAAACAGAAAATTATCTTGTAAATTCAGATTGCGTACGTCTATATTTTTTACACGCAATTGATTTTCCTCGCCGTTACTACATTCATTGTACGCGTAATTTGTCTTCCTCCTCCATTAGCAGCAGTGCGTAAATTGTCTGGAAATGCATATCTGTTCGGCGAATGTATTAGCGACGAATGAATCACGTAGCGAAATGTCGAGTCGCCGTAAAACAATACGATCGCAAATAATAAGCGAGCGTAATGTCGAATCAACGACGAGGAAACTTAATTTCTCAAATTTATTCGCTCATTTATTTGCGCGATATTTGAATCTATTAATAATCTTTACTATTAAGGAATCATAATGTGTGACGGCCTTCTGGAAATTTTTCCTGATAAAATATCGATAATATGTATATCCGTTTGAATATCGGGCACGTGTGAAACGCATGTATAAGAAATAGAAATCCGCGCGCAGAAAGACTAATCGCGTGCTCGTGGCATTAATTATTTACTGCCGCCAATTCATTTGGCGCGTATCGATCACAGCGGAATTTCGTGGGAGAAAGAAACAGAAAGTTGAAAAATTACGCCCACAAAGTAATCGTACGCCGTCGCTTCGCAACCGGTTCGATTCGAATTCCTGCTAACGCTGCGGAGACGCGAGATCGCGCTCGTCGAATCACGTCGACCACGTGGGATGTCTTTCCGACAAAACCCGACGTATCCTTCGATGAAAGATTCTGCGAGATCAAAGACTTGTGACGTTAAAAATTTTACATATGTAAAATGCGAAGTCATCACTTATTCATCGCTACCGCGGATGATATTTTAAACATTGGCAAACGTTGAAAAAATAAATATATATAAAATAATATAAATTTAAAAAATATATAATATAAAGATAATTATATAATACTCCTTGTTATGTTAATTACGTTTTAATGCGCCTTTATTTTAATTG